AACGTACAAATGTGCTTGACACAATGGATGAATGGATGCATTGTGATAAGAGTTGTATGCGCCCCAATAAAATGATTTTAAGACATTTAATGACATTTAAGAAAAAGAGTTGTATGAGGCCCCAATAAAATGATTTTTTTTAAAGGTGTATCTTAGAGATATGATTTTATGTCTCAAGACTCCTGTTAGGTGGGGGGTGGGGGGGAATGGAATGAGGTCATGCAGGGAAAAGTGATGGGCATCTAATAATCGCTCAATAAACGGGGCCTCTCCTCGCTTGTCTAGAGGACAGACTGAAACCTCACTCTGGCGTCTGCACAAAGTAGCGCCAACTCACCCAAGGAGAAAGGCATAAAAGCGTCAATCTTCTTCAGTGCCCCTTTGGCATCCAGAAAGTGGCCCGGGTTGAAGTCATCTGGTTTTTCAAAGTAATGTGGGTCGTGGAGGGCAGTGCTCAGGATGGGGAACACCTCAGTGTCCTGGGGGCGGGTACAAGAAACAGATCGACATAGTGCACCATCTGCCTGCCTTCACCCAAGAAGAACAACACCAAAAGAACCCTCGTTAGCAAAGAGGTCAAGTGTGCTGTTGAGGGAAATGCAGGATGCCCATACAGAAGAGATGCAGGAACCCATCGGGCCTTACCTTGGGGATGATGTGCCCTCGGAAGTTCGTGTCTTTGGTGACCACACGGGGCACACCGATGGGCAGGAGGTCCCCGAATCGCTGAATCTCATGAATGACCGCATCAGTGTATGGCATTTTGACTCGGTCATCCAGAGTGGGAGCACGATGGGAGCCGATCACCTGGTCAATCTCCTTGTGGACTTTCTCTGCACACAAAAGGGGGACAGTGCACCTCTGATTCACTTCATTGAAGCAAACAGTCCCAAGAGACCTTTCAGTGGGGGGATGTGCTTTCTATGAGTCAACAAGTCAGGACACATCTAGAGTGAAGGTTAGATGGTGAACAGTTGGAGAGGGGAGTGGAAGAGGGAAGCCACAAGGATTCTTCCCCTCTGAAATGCTGTTGCTTCTCTCCCCACATGGACAAGCAGACACAAGCAAATGCACACACACGCAGCTTCTCGAACTTTAAGGGAAAGCATGTTGGACGTTCCCTTATGGGTTGATATTCTTATGGAGTCAAGATAATCCATAGGAGAGCTTTTTCTTTTTCTGAATTCTCCCTCCAACACAAGTAGAAAACAAACTCCGAGTCCTTGTGTGCGTGTTATATGCCAAGCTGCACATCCTCATGTATAATGAAGTCCTCAGGAATATGACCGTGAAATCAACCAATAGATTATATCATGACCAGCTAATTGAATAAGCAAATCAATGCATCCATCAAACAATTGATGAATGAATCAGGACTGGAAAGGTTAATGAATGAACAAATCGATGAATTAATTCTGTATTCGGGTATCTCTCAATAACTAGATCAATTGGTAAATCATGGATCAATAAGTGATCCATCGTTAAATAAATCAATGAATGAATAGAGCAGATGGATGAATGAATGCATGAAAGAATGGCTCCATGGAAGAGGAATAAATGGATTTGTGAAAGAAAGAGTATATTAAAAAAATCAATGGATGGGTAGATTGAATACAGACTCATAAATTAGAAAATGCTTGAGCAAATAAATAACGTATTCCTAGGCAAATGAAATCATTAACGAAAGGGTGAATCAAAAGAAGGCTTGACCGATGGAAAGATGACAGATGATAAATCGATCTGTGAGTGGTTAAAGATGAAACTCCGAGAGAAGAGCTCTTCAAATGACCCAACCATCGAAAGGGCTGGGTCAGTTGGGAATTACCCCCAGACCTGTAGCGCCACTAAGGCCAAAAGCCAGAGCCGCCTCTCTTTGCCACACAGGACCCATAATTCCACTTCTGCAAGTCAAAGCGGGGTCAGAAGATCCCTCCTGGGTGGTCTGTCCCTGCCCCACCCACCTGTGATGTGGGGGTATTTGAGCATGAGCAGGAACCCATAGCGGAGAGTGGTGCTCGTGGTCTCCGTGCCAGCGAAGAAGAGCGACAGCGCAGTGAGGATGAGGTTCCGCTGGTGGAACTCGGTGTCCTTGTTGGACTTCTCCTGGGCGGGGAGGACAAGCCTGGGGTGAGGAAGGCTGGGGCCTGGCACGCACACGCGTCTCTCTGGGTGCCCGACACGTGATCCCCAGCCTCAGTCACGCCCGTCTTTCCTGCTTTGCCGTCCATCGTCCACCCTCTTCACCTGTCTCTCCCCGAGCTCATCTCTCTCGTCTTCCTCTGCTTCCGTCTTCCCATCTTTCTGGCCATTGGTCTTTGTCTCCCAGCTTCCCTCTCCGGTTCGGTCTCAGTTCCCTCCCTCACCATCTTCCCGTCGCCTCTTTCTGCTTTCTCTTGGTCCCCTCCCTTCCATGGCCTCTGTGCTAGTCCCCCCTCCCTACTACCCCTCCCACTCCTCCTCCACCCACTTTGTCCATGCGGAGCAGGAAGGTATCAATGAAGTCCCGGGGAGTGTTGGGGTCCAGGGTTTCTCGGTGCTTCTCCACGCTGCGGGCAATGAAGGTGTTGACTTCTATCATGTTTTTGTAGACTCGTCGGTGTGTGCCGGGAAAGTGCTTCAGAACATTCGAGAAGAGCTCAAACACCTGAAAGACAGAAGACTCCATGAGATGAGGCTACCTGGGGCTGGTGGGGAGGGGAGGGTGAAAGAAGTCTGCCCTGCTTTGTCCTAGACCCTCCTCCTGGAATCCATCTCTACGGAGAGATGGAGAGCCGCCTCCCCCGCCGGGCTCCATGTTTTGACGTCTGCTCCCTCGGGTTGACATCTCTCCCTTTCTGCCCTGCTGGATCTTCCCTTGGTTCGTGAGGGGTTTTCTCAGTCTTCCCTCTCTCCGTCTCGGTGTCTGCAGCTTACACGGCTCTCACGCTGTCTCTGCCGCCATGTATTTCCATCTGTCTGTCTTTCTCTCTTTGATTCTCTCTCTCCCTGACAATGTGTTTCTTTATCCCCTTTCTATTGATTGATCACTCCGTTGATCCAAGCCCCTCACTCTGACTCTGCGATTCCATTGAGCTGTTAGCCCCCTGCCTCTCCTGGTCTTCCTACTTCATCCGTGTGTCCTTTGTTTGCCTTCACCTCCTTGTATTGCTACTTCACCACCTCTTGCTCTCTGTGTGTCTTGGTTGCACCTGCGTGTGTGTGTGTGTGTGTGTGTGTGTGTGTGTCTGTGTTTACCACCTCAGCCTGTTCTCCTGTTCTCATTCTTCTCCTTGCCTCTCTCAGTGTCTCTGCATCTCTCTGGCTGAACCGATGCACAAAATGAGGCTGCTGCTGACCACTTGGGCCTGTCTATTTATTCTGGAGCATACTCATATTTTGACTGCTTTATCTGGGGATAGAAGTTACTGTAGTATTTACCCCCAAATGCAAAAATGTCTACAGTAAGGTGTGAAAGTCATCTTTGATGTCTCCGTTTAGAGAACATCAGTGTTAACTCTTTGGTATCTCTCCTTCCAGGTGTGTGTGTGTGTGTGTGTGTGTGTGTGTTTTCAGCACCAGGAGCACATTGGAATCATTTGTTGGGCTTGTCTTAGATATTCACCCTGTACCCCATCCTAGGTCAGAACCCTCAATAAGAGGTCCTGGGTACCTGTATGTGTGGCAAGCCCATATGTGAATCTAACATCTATAGCTATGACAGAGATAGTACAAGATTTGCCAATCCAACATCCGTCATTCAGACAGTTCAATAAAGCCTGTTTCATCAATCATGTCGTACAACCACCGCCAATATCAACTGGCATATTTTCCACCCCAGAAACGCTAACTAAATGGTTTCACTCTTTAAAAATACAATGGATGTATTGGGAGGTTAGTCAATAAAGAGAAACGTCGCAGGTGTTTTGTTTTGTTTAAGCAGAACCTATTTGTTATCATCTGGGGGTGGTTGTTTTAAAAGCAACAACAGAGAGAGAAGAAAACGGGGAAGTGAATGAAGAAATGGGGTTTCTTATTTTCACACATCCATGTCTTCAGATGAGGGAGAGACATTGCCAAAGACACACAAACACGCAAAGGCAGATGGGGTCAGAAGAGTAGAGACTGAGAGTCTGATTCCTTCTATTATCTTCTCAACTTTGTCTTTGAAGAGCCCTTTCTCTTGGCTTCTTTATCTTGTTTAGCTTGTTTTCTCTCTAGCTCCTCCCATTTCTCCTTCTCTTCTCTCCTCCAATCCCTCTGATGGTTTTTATTTTTTAGGTCTCTCTCTACCCCTGCCTCTGGTGGCCCCAGATCAGTGGGAACAGTTCATATATTTGGCTACTAACCAAAAAGTCAGTGCTTTGAGTGCCCCCTGAGGTGTCTCAGAAGAAAGGCGTGATGCATTACTTCTGAAAAATCAACCACTGGAAACTCCATGCAATGCAGTCAGTCCATGTGGGGGTCCCTAGGGGATGCAAATGCTTTAGAAGCTTGGCTGCTGATCAAAAAGATGGAAGTTCAAGTCCACTCAAAGATGCCTCCCGGAAAGTCCTAGTGATCCACTTCTAAAGAGTTCAAAGAATAAAAGCCCTATGGAGCGCCTCTTGAGAGAATCCAAGATCTGTTTGCACAACGCAGTTCACAAAGACAATGGTCTACATTCGACTCGGGGGGAGTAGCGACTGGGATCCTAAAAGGTGGTGAGCAGCTCTCTCAGGGGTGACCGTTGGTCTTTCCCCAGCCAGAAGGAAGAGAGTGATGAAAACAGAAGCGCACATGAAAACACGCAGTCCACAACCCTGGAACCAAAAGTAGATGGTGCCCAGCTGTCACTGCCATCAGCTCCCCAAAGGATCATGTTAAGCAGTCCTAGGTAGAGTAGGTGAAAACATGGGGAGGGGAGGGGGGCCTTAAACATAAAAGATACCGGCTGAATGGTTGGATAGGACAGGTGGGACCCTTAAGATTATGGCCCTTTGTCAACCTTCAGGTCTGGAACTGAACACACCATCACGTTAGAAAAATCCACGCTCTATGATTCAAAGGGGCATTGACCCAATGACAGAGCTCAGAGGGTTAGGAAAGGGAGAGGAATGGGAGTGGGGAGTGGGAAGTGGGAAGTAGGAGCTGGTACTGGCCGTGGATGACTTGGAACAAACTATGTGTGAATTGTTGAACGTTAAAGACTGATGAGCTGCTCTGTAAACCTACATTTCACTCACAGTAAAACAAAAAGCTTATCAAAGCTGACTGCCATCTAATTCCAACTAAATAATAATAAACTCAAAACCCGATGCAGCACAGTTCCACCCGGACATGCATGGTCACCATGAGTAGCAGTCGATTGACTCCACAGCAATTCTGTTTTGTTTCTCCCTGACTCTACCTCTGTCTCTTGCTACCTCCTGCACCACGCCCTTTTCGCCCTCATATTCTCTCACTCCCTACCTCACAGCCTCTCCCTTCCTCTGGGACCCCGTGTCTCCCATCTCTGTGTGGTTTCAGCTCTTCTCCCCAACCCTAGGCTACATGGCTGGGCCCAAAAGACAGACCCCGCCTCTCCCTGCCTTGAATGCTTGC